AAGAGAACAGAGAAGATCCCCTTAAGTTCGTATTCATAAGTCCGTCCTCTAATTGATAAACAAAACAAAAGTCAGACCGAGGGAGTTTTACGGAAGACAGGGTCGGGATTGGCAGATTCAGCTAGCTAAGGGCAACTTGTCAAGCAGGTCCCGACTGACTCAAATTACCAAACTTGTCTAAATCTCGAGTAACTTGAGAGAAAAAAAAAACGAAATAACAAGGAATGCAGGTCACCTCGTGGCTCTGAAAGTGCACGCGGCCCGAGAAAAGTCCGACGTCGGCAGCAAGAACGGATGCCTTTGTCAACGACGGCGTCACGACTCTACTTCGCTGACACATGGCGCCAAAAAAAAATCTGGCGTGTCACTCTATCCAATTTTGCGAAGTGATAATAAAATGGTATGTGGAATTCTCTTATCCCTCCACCAATGCAATGAGAAATTTTGCTCTTCTCGGTTCCATCAGGCAGAATCAACATCTTGTTGTCTGTTATATAAGTTCTTGATCTGATCTAAATTCAACATGGCTTTAACATTAGTGACATAAAAGAAATAAAAATACACATCAAGCCTCGTTCGAAATACACAGATGGACATGCATTAAAGGCCTGATTTTGCTTGATTTTGTCGCGACCTTCAAAACAAGACCTGCATGGAAGACGTTAACAAATGAAACTCGCTTTAGCCTGTCTGACGACCTTAAAATGAGACCTGCAGCGACGCCCGAATCATTCTAAAATATATTTCAACCTTGTAAACAAAAGCGCCAGTCCGGCTCCCCTTTCGACCCCCTTTCGAGACCTGCCTGGAAGAGGTCGCCGAAGGAGATGACTGCAGTGCCGTCCTCGAGCTGCTGGCCCTCCTGGTGGATCATGTCGCACAGGAGCATCACCTCGGCGTTGATGTGGCGCGCAGCCCTCTTGCCTCGCATCTCGGACTTGCTGCCTGCGACCGGCCTGAAAAGTACAAAGGATAATGTAGGTCGCTGGTGCATCCGGAATGCCACGGCACGGGGGCGCCCGTTCACTCTGACGCTAGCGAGCACCCGTATAGAGGCACGCAGTGAAAGTTATTCAATAATAAGATGTTGACGAACCCGCTCGAATTTTCTGTTTTATAATCTGTTAACGAATGTGAAAAGGAGAAACACATATATACCAATGCAAAGAAAAAAACACACATCATGAAACTCATTTTATAGAAACTGATTTCATGTCAAAGACTGTAAAATTATCACATAAATGACAGTTTCATTCCTTGGAGTAACGTGTATGAAGATGCTGGCCAATTTATTACGAGCTTTGTACATAGGACTGCAATAGGTCTGATATTCAACATGATAAATCTGCGCCTTATCATCAACATATGTAGATGACATCAAAGAAACCTTTCACATTCTCTTCCCTTGCATGCTCCTCCTGCTCAACATCCTTCGCTGAGCTCTTAATTGTTTCGAAAACATTCACTCTGCCCCCTTCATACACAAGGGTACCAGAATGCCCTTCCTCTGAAAGAGAAGGTCGGCAGGGTTGCCAAGCGCGAGGCAGATCCAACTGCCTACCCTATCCAATTAACCTGCCAGATCAAAGGCAAACCTGCAGCCCCAATTAGTCCTCTTGTGAATAACGCGAAGCAGGTCGCACACAGCATACGTCCTGTGACCTTTACGGCGGCCACTTCGGTTCATTCCGATGCCCGCTTTGTTCTGCGGCTGCCGGATGTGCGGCCGCCGACGGACGCTACTGTCAAGAAAGGTGGGTGTCTGTATGAACGTATGTATGTGTGTGTGTGTATATATATATATATATATATATATATATATATATATATATATATATATATATATATATATATATATATATATATATATATATATATTTGTGTGTGTGTGTGTGTGTGAATGAGTGAGTGGGTGAGAGGGAGAGGGAGAGGGAGAGGGAGAGGGAGAGGGAGAGGTTGAGAGAGAGAGAGAGAGAGAGAGAGAGAGAGAGAGAGAGAGAGGGAGAGAGAGAGAGAGAGAGAGAGAGAGAGAGAGAGAGAGAGAGAGAGAGAGAGAGAGAGAGAGAGAGAGAGAGAGAGAGAGAGAGAGAGAGAGAGAGAGAGTTTTTACCACATTACATACCCTGTATCTCCCTGTGGTCGCGAAGATATTTTATAAAAGAGGTCGGCATGTATATGTAAAAAACATGTATATCGTAAAATGTCTATCGTAAAAAATATAGGTTATAGGTTACTTTTAAAGTTAATTTCAAAAACTGGTTTAAGGTTCCATTATCATTTTCGCTGATATTCGGTTAGATGTTCTAGTTGTTATTTGGTGCTTGAGATATGCTAGTCCTGGAATTCGCTGCTCAGAAGAAACAACAACAATGATAATAACAATGATAATGTTAATGATAGTCATTACCATTATCATTATTATTAATTTTATTGTTATTGTTATAATACCTATCATCACATTCACATACTTACACACTCGCAAACACATACACACAGACACACAGACACACACACACACACACACACACACACACACACACACACACACACACACACACACACACACACACACACACACACACACACACACACACACACACACACACACACACACACACACACACACACACACACACACACACACACACACACACACATACATACACACCCACACCCACACCCACACACACACACACACACACACACACACACACACACACACACACACACACACACACGCATACACACACACTGACCCAAGAAGAAAATTGGTTGCTGTTGTTGTGGCAATGAGCTTCGACAGTTTCCTATTACATCCCCATTTTCTATTTATTCTTCGAGATCTGTAAAAGTTCGTCGTCGCATCTTGCAAGGGAAAATAGTAAACACAGATACGTCCATTTGCATTTTTACGATTTGTATGCTATGCTTCATACATTTTGAAAAGAGATCGATCATTCGATGGTATGGAGTTGCTTCTTGACTGAACCAATGAGGATTCTTGCAAGTGCATTCTGTAGCCACGTGCATCCCGCCCTAGCAGTTGCACTCAATTCCGCCGTTCCATTATCTGGAAATCGATCCAGGGAGGTCAGGGTGATGTGCTCGGCATGATGTTCGCTCCGCCAGACGTGGCACCTCGCGTCTCGGAGACTCTCCATCCGTCTGCGGTAACCAGAGCTAGTAACGGAGGGTAACTTAACCCCAAGGAAACCTAAAAGTGGCTTTAGGCGCCAGTTATAGAGCTTAGCCACATGTCCCATATTCGAGTTCAAACACCTGCACGGAGACCGGCTGACTGCTCACAGTGCGCGGCTCCCTTTAATATTATTCTGTATCCGAAATCATCAAGGTTTGTTACCTCACGCCGTGGTAGGAAACTACTTTTTTCTTCGTTTTTTAATCGAATTTTATTTTTTTTTCCAAACTAACAACTTAATTTCCCTTTTGTTAGTGCGGAGGTGCCTGGAGAGACAAAGTCATCCTTGGGAATAAGTATCTGTACGTAATTTCGTTTCAGTAACGGAAGGGAGACTGGCGATCCGCGACCTGCGGCTGCTACTCATCAAACTATTTTGTATTCAGCACTCAACGATTAGCAACGACTAATGTTATCGCTCGCCAGTCTATCCGCTTTCTTAGTACAGCAAACAAAACATTCCTTTCAACTTTACCATAACGTTAGATGAAATAACTGAATTACCATCTTCCTTTTCCCAAGTTTAATTTTGTTTCTTATTTTTAACATGGAAAATAACGAAATGTATCCTTCAACCTCTTCCTGCTTGATTACGTGACTGAAACTCGTGACTGATTTTTTTTTCGAAAAATGGAGAAACCCTTTGGCAACATCCTGAATACCCTCTTTGTCCTCCAAGGTAAAGGTTTTCCCCCCACAGCATAAAGCATTAACAGGTCGTGGCACATGGAGCAGCCTCGCTCGCCGCACTTCTCTTGCCATGCTACCGCTTTCATCTTCCCCTCGAAGTGATCCTTATTTCCCCTTCCTTTCCTATTGAGATATTTCACTTTCCCCCATCTCTCTGTCTCTGTCTGTCTGTCTCTGTCTCTGTCTCTCTCTGTCTCTGTCTCTGTCTCTCTGTCTGTCTCTGTCTGTCTGTCTGTCTGTCTGTCTGTCTGTCTGTCTGTCTGTCTGTCTGTCTCTCTCTCTCTCTCTCTCTCTCTCTCTCTCTCTCTCTCTCTCTCTCTGTCTCTGTCTCTGTCTCTGTCTGTCTCTCTCTGTCTCTGTCTCTGTCTGTCTCTCTCTGTCTCTCTCTCTCTCTCTCCCTCTCTCTCTCTCTCTCTCTCTCTCTCTCTCTCTCTCTCTCTCTCTCTCTCTCTCTCTCTCTCTCTCTCTCTCTCTCTCTCTCTCTCTCTCTCTCTCTCTCTCTCTTTTCTCTCTCTCTTTCTTTCTTTCTCTCTCCCTCCCTCCCCCCCCCCCTCTCTCTCTCTCTCTCTCTCTCTCTCTCTCTCTCTCTCTCTCTCTCTCTCTCTCTCTCTCTCTCTCTCGCTCTCTCTCGCTCTCTCTCTCGCTCTCTCTCTCGCTCTCTCTCTCGCTCTCTCTCTCTCTCTCTCTCTCTCTCGCTCTCTCTCTCGCTCTCTCTCTCGCTCTCTCTCTCGCTCTCTCTCTCTCTCTCTCTCTCTCTCTCTCTCTCTCTCTCTCTCTCTCTCTCTCTCTCTCTCTCTCTCTCTCTCTCTCTCTCTCTCTCTCTCTCTCCAACAATGCAGCCCTCCTTCCCTTCCATCTTCTCCCTTTCTCCCTTTCCTATTCTTCCTCCCTCTCTCGCTCTTCCACTCCTTTCTCCATTTCTCTCTCCCATTTTCCAAACCTCGCTTCCTTTATCTCCCTTCCAATTCTTATTTTCTCTCCTTTTTCCAGTCATCTATCTATTCTTCCAATCCCTATTTCCTCTTCCAGTTATCGCTTCCCCTCTTCTTCCTCCAGGCTTCGCTCCCTCTCTCTCCCTCTTTCAATTCTCGATCTAGCTTTCGCTTTCTCATTCTCCACTCCTTCTCCTCTCATTCCTTGCTCACTTTCTTTTCTTCTTCCTCTCTTTTGTAACTCCATATACTCTTTTAATCTTCTCCTTCTTTCTTTTTCTCTGTCTATAACATCTCTTTCTCTCTCTCTCTCTCTCTCTCTCTCTCTCTCTCTCTCTCTCTCTCTCTATCTATCTATCTATCTATCTATCTCTCTCTCTCTCTCTCTCTCTCTCTCCCTCTCTCTCCCCCTCTCTCCCTTTCTCTCCCCCTCTCTCCCTCTCTCTCTCCCTTTCCCTCTCCCTTTCCCTCTCCCTCTCCCTCTCTCTGTCTCTTTCTCTCTCTCTCTCTCTCTCTCTCTCTCTCTCTCTCTCTCCCTCTCTCTCTCTCTCTCTCTCTCTCTCTCTCTCTCTCTCTCTCTCTCTCTCTCTCTCTCTCTCTCTCTCTCTCTCTCTCTCTCTCTCTCCCTCTCTCCCTCTCTCCCTTTCTCTCCCCCTCTCTCCCTTTCTCTCCCCCTCTCTCCCTCTCTCTCCCTCTCTCTCTCTCCCTTTCCCTCTCCCTTTCCCTCTCCCTTTCCCTCTCCCTCTCCCTCTCCCTCTCCCTCTCTCTGTCTCTCTCTCTCTCTCTCGTCTCTTTAATTATCTTACCTTCCAATCCTCACTCTTTATCTCCTTCCAGTCTTCACTCCTTTCTTACACTTTCAATCCCAGATTCCTCCCACCCCTTACGCTTCCACCCTCTCTCTCTCTCTCTCTCTCTCTCTCTCTCTCTCTCTCTCTCTCTCTCTCTCTCTCTCTCTCTCTCTCTCTCTCTCTCTCTCTCTCTCTCTCTCTGTTTTCACTACCACCCGTTCTCTCGTCTCCTTTCCCTCCCCCTCCCCTCTCCTCACCTCCCCCTCACCTCTCCCTCCCCCTCCCCCTCCCCCTCCCCTCTCCCTCTACCCCCACCTACCTTCCATAGTTAGGGTCGTCCTTGGCCAACCTCGGCGGACCCGTTTTGAACGACCCGCTGAAGGGGTTGTTGGCCATCTTGCTCTGGTGTTTCTTCACGTTGTCGTCGAACATCTTCTTCTTCTCCGCCAGGCTGGTGTTCCGAATCGCCACCTGCAAACACACCAGCGCCGGCGTTAAAACATTCTGTGCGTTGGTTTTATTATGTGTATGTGTATTTATGTCTATTTGTCTATATACCTAGCTATCTGAGAGAGAGGGAAAGAGAGGGAGAGAGAGAGAGAGCGAGAGAGAGAGAGAGAGAGAGAGAGAGAGAGAGAGAGAGAGAGAGAGAGAGAGAGAGAGAGAGAGAGAGAGAGAGAGAGAGAGCGAGAGAGAGATAGAGAGAGAGAGAGAGAGAGAGAGAGAGAGAGAGAGAGAGAGAGAGAGAGAGAGAGAGAGAGAGAGAGAGGGAGAGAGAGAGGGAGAGAGAGTGAGACAGAGAGAGAGACAGAGAGAGCCAGAGAGAGACAAAGAGAGAGTTTGACCGAGCCTGCTAGATGCATTATATACCTTTATAATCTTTCTACGAAGGAGTTTACTATAAAGTGAAATACCATTGTGTTAGCTCTTATTAACCAAGAGTTTATTACTCGTACCTAACTTTAGTAAGCGTCAAATAACCGTACATTACTGGCAGATATATAAATAGACCGCTTTGAAGTCGTGAAGGTTAACAGGTCCTAGGAATGTGGACAGTTGCATACCAATGTGTATGACTCTTTCCGTGTTAAAAACGTGCTAAGCATCATCCAAAGTTAAAGTTAAAGAATAAGCAGACAAATAGATAATCTGCCTTTGTAAGCTTCCCTCTAAAAAGGACAGCAGAAGATTTGACATTCCATTTATGAGGGCAGTTTCGGTGCAAGCACAGAGCTCGCCACTATAGCATTACGTAAGAGCCGGCGGCAGGGGTGTACGACCGGCCAGGCGTCCGACGGCCCTTGCCGAACACATACACGTACATACATACACCTATATGCATATATATATACATACATGCACATATATACATATATACACGTACCACACGCACGCGCACGCACACTCACACGCACATTCACACACAAACACACACACACATACATCTATATGCAAATATACACATACAAACACACATATGCATATATACACATACCACACACACACACACACACACACACACACACACACACACACACACACACACACACACACACACACACACACACACACACACACACACACACACACACACACACACACACACACACACGCCCGCATCGCACCTCACATCCGCGAGAGTCCCACGACTGTTGAGGCAATGCCTTGGGATTCTCAGGAACGTGTCATGATTTCTCACAAAAAAAAAAAAATAAATAAAGAAATTACTTCTAAAAATAGGAACAAAACAAAGGTGGTTAACAAATATAGAAAAAAAAAATAGGAAAAATGAACAGACAGCGCATAATGATAATAATAATGAAGAAACGGACAAACAGCGAGAAACACACATGTGAAGTGAAGTGCATGAACAGCAAAGCCAACATCC